TCTATTTTCCGTTTCCTGTTGGCCTTCTGGTTCTCATGTCTCATCTTTTTCTGGTTTCCATTTCTTGAGCGATTCAAATCTGTAGCCCTTATCAGTGTGTGATCCCATTGCACACACGCTTTTTTTCCTCTGGCAGAGGGTGTGGTGCCCATCCTCTAGACTTTTTTTGGGGGACGGGCGCAGGTCTGATTCTGATTGCGAGATACAATCAAATTTTCAAAACTTGTTTTTTGAAGGGTAGCTGCGCGTTTATTAGTGGCTTTCGCGCGTTAACCCGGTGCTTGCTTAGATTCGCGTCAGCTGTGGTTCATCCTCCGTGCCCTTTGATCACGTCACGCAATCTAATTGGGCCTTCTCCCGCCGTCTGGCATGGAGGCCCTTTTTGTTGAGTATGTCATTGCAGTAGGGGTCACAAACCTGCAAGCCAAAAGGCTTTAGCCACTTCTGCCAGAAAGGTCGAGATCAACAGCGATGGGAAAATCTTCCTGAAAACTTCAGTCGAGGCGCCTTTCTGCGTTTAAAAAGCAAGTATAGAAAAATCACGAAGAGGATACGATGAGATAGGGGGAAGCCGAAGAAGATTTCTACCAGCCTCCGCGTGTTGCTGGGTTTGCTCGGCTAGGTTGCACCCTGTGACCTGAGGTGCTCCTTGAAAGAGTGGTTTGCCTTTCAATGGTGGAGCGAGTGTTTCTTTGCACCCAGGCTGCAAGCAATGGGAAGCAATGACATCGCTTGACCAAAATGGACCGCTTGTGCGAAGCCACGATCATTGAGCGGAAGGTGTCCCCAGACTGCAGGCCTCCACCGGGAGGAACTGCACGAAAGTCATGATCTTTGCAGCAGCGGCCCCAACTATAGCCTCTTGCAGGACGCTTGGACACGGAAAAGGTTGCTGTCAAGAAACATTCCTAAATGGAACGGCAGCATGATGGCAAATGGTATGCTAAACATCGTCTTCTACTTTTCCCACAAATACATCATTCTCTCGTTTGGCATTTGTACTGGTCAGAGTCTACTGTATCAGATGCAAAGCGCTTTTGTGTTTCAAGCGGCGCTTTTGGCGGGCATGCAGCTGGCCTTCCACCCTTAGAAAGTCATTCTTTATTTCTAATATGATATATGATATATATATATGTTATTAATGTTGGTTCCTGATTAGTGTGAGGCCCCCCCCCTCTAAACAATATCTGGACTCTCTTTAAAGTGGAAAGTCAAAAACTTTCTTCCCAAGAGAAAAACAAATCCTCACTTAAGTAAGGATTTCAATTGGCTACAGTTGAAATCTAATTAAAACTGTTTTTTGCGGATGAGCTTGTGGTACTTGTAGTACTTGTATGTACTTGTAGTATTTGTAGTACCTCTCAGCAATTACAGGTTGTTTTTTTCCCAAAAAAAGCTCTCCCAATTTTTTTTGCCACAAAAGTGAACCCTCCAAACAATACATGGGTTTCAGAATAATTTGGAAAAATTTAGCGAACCTAGCTACCAATCAGAGACCGACATTAGTTGCATGTGGTCAGATGGTTCGTAGTCTGCAAAGGTGATGGAATCACATGCGCGTAATCATACCTGTTGCACTGTATACATGTAATCCCTCTTATCATTTGCCTCTATCTCTCTTCTTGCTTTTCTGTCCGTCCTCCATTCTGATCGTCTAGGTGCCTAGAGAATTTTCCGTTTTTCTAGTTTCTGATTAGCCTCTTTGATCCCTATTGCTTCAAACGACGACTTTTCCACTGGGTCGTCTTGTTGCAGTGTGTGATGCGCCTGCACACGAGTTACATGTCTTGCAAAGGTCTGCAATGGCGGTTTCCTTTTTCCTTGATGCAAAAGGCGGTGGTATAAAGTGTGATGTTCCGTGTTTATGCGGTGGTGGGGCTGAGTTAGTACCTGCTCACTACATCCGAACTGGGATTGTTGCCGCCTGGTCCAAGCCTACCGTTGGGTTTGTGTTTGTTCCACCCGTTTTTCACGTCACCACTTTCCGCCAGGACTGGGTCTACAGAATAGACTGGGCCGAAGCTTTTAAAGTGATCGACCAGCTTCATGGAAGACGACCGCAGACATGGAATCTTGTCAAGCTTGCGAAGCTGAAGTGAAAGCATACCATTTCTTCCATCCGGAAAAAAAATTGCAGAACTCTGGTAACTTATGTAGGTGATGCATTCGTCTTCCATTTGTGTTTGGTGGCAGTGACCGACCCACCAAGGATGCTTGACTCCAAGAGGCATGGCTGCAAAGGCTCTCCTACGAGGGCCTTCGACAGATTGGTGATGCAACAAAAGGCGGGCCGGGCCATGAGGGCTGTTCTTTCACAGCTTGGATTTCTTGACTAGGTCCATCAAGTTCTTATGTGCCCAATCACGTACAGATAGGAGGGGATCTTCTTTGGAAGGGGGGAATCTTCAAAGAAGGGAACAGTCTCTTTCGAAGGCGGGGGGATTGGACATGATGTTGCCGCAGGGTTTGGAGCTTATAAGAATACATACAAGTACAAGTGTAAGTATAGGTAAAAGTATAGGTGCACGTATAAGTATGAGTAGCAGTAGTAGTAAAAGTACTAGTCGAAGGAAGTTTAGAAGTCAAACTTCCGAGAAGAGTAGAAGAGAGAAGATGATAGAAGAGAGTCGTCAGAAGAAAGAAGATGCAGATGCGCGAAAAGGTAGGAAAGTCGCGAAACACAGTGTTTTTCCAATGATTTGTGGCTCCGGAGGGTCGAAAAGTAGGCTCGCTAAAGCGGGGGGTGCGGAGCCAGCTGGCCAGATGAGAGATGAAAAAGTGCACGCCGTTGTGGCGCGAAGCACATTTCCAAGTCAAAATGTACAAAACATACCAGCTTCGGACCACTTTTGGAAGCTGAGATGTCGAAAAAGTGCACGCCATTGTGGCGTGAAGCAAATTTTGAAGTCAAAATGTTAAAAGCATCAGGGGTTCGGTCCACTTTTGGACGTTCAGATGTCGAAAAATTGCACGCCGTTGTGGCGCGAAGCACAGTTCGAAGTCAAAATGTTAAAAGCGCCAGGGGTTCGGACCACTTTTGGACGTTCAGATGTCGTTCGGCGTGGCAGGCGCAGGGGATGGTGCACCTTGCCGAAAGTGAGCCAAATGTGAGGGTTTTGTAGCAATTTCAACTACAACCACCACTACACCACGCTACTCTCCAATACACTACAACTACAACTACACCTTCACTACTTTCCACTACACTACACTACATTCCACTACAATACACTACACTCAATTACACTCAAGTACGTTACACTACACTACACTACACTACATTCCACTACACTACACTACGCTACACTACACTACATTACACTAACGTCGGCTTCGCAGGGCCCTAGCCCCACCCACCTGAAGGACGGACGGGCTGCCCACGGCTCACCCCCCTGAGGGCCTAACGCCGCCTTTGAAACGGACTGAAACACTCACCTATAGGACCTGGAAGGTTCCAAAACAGAGCAGCCACCTCAAGGACGGACGGGTTCCCCACGGCTCACCCCCTGAGGGGCTAACGTCGCCTTTGAAACTAACTAAAACATTCAACGTCGGCTTCGCAGGGCCCTAGCCCCACCCACCTGAAGGACGGACGGGTTCCCCACGGCTCAACCCCTGAGGGCCTAACGTCTGTTGCTCCAAAACGTCGGCTTCGAAGGACCGACGGGCTGCACCCCTGAGGACCTAACGTTGCCTTTACCGACTGAACATGCACCTGGAAGGCTCCAAAACGTCGGCTTCGCAGGGCCCTAGCCCCACCCACCTGAAGGACGGACGGGTTCCCCACGGCTCAACCCCTGAGAGCCTAACGTCGCCTTTCAAACCGACTAAAACATGCACCTGGAAAGCTCCAAAATGTTTGCTTTGCAGGGCCCTATCTGAAGGACGGACGGGTTCCCCACGGCTCACCCCCAAAGGGCTTAACGTCGCCTTTGAAACCGACCAAAACATGTTCCTTCCTGAGTGCCTAACGTCGCCTTTGAAACCGACCAAAACATTCACCTGGAAAGCTCCAAAACGTCGGCTTCGCAGGGGCCTAGCCCCACCCACCTGAAGGATGGACGGGTTCCCCACGGCTCACCACCTAAAGGCCTAACGTCGCCTTTGAAACCGATTAAAACATACCAGTAGTACCGCACAAGGCGGTGGCGGAAGTTTCAGAATAGGAAACCTATAGGAGACGTTGGTTGTTGTGAATCACGGATGGCAGAGCGAATCCACTGATTGACCGAAAGGTGGTTGGAGTTATGTTTGCTGGAATGGTTGCAATGGTTGCAGTGGTCACCTCACCCACAACTGCTGGATGTAGTGTGATGTACTGCAACTGTAGTTGTAGTTGTAGCCTAGTGGAGTTGTAGTTGTGGTGTAATGTAATTAGTGTAGTGTAGTTGCAGTCATATAGTTGTAGCTGTAGTTGTTTTGTAGTTGTAGTTGTAGTTGTAGTTGTAGTTGTAGTAGTTGTAGTTGTAGTTGTTGTAGTAGTTGTTGTTGTTGTCGTTGTTGTAGTTGTAGTTGTAGCTGTAGTTGTTGTGTGGTTGTAGTTGTTGTGTAGTGTAGTAGTAGTTGTTGTTGTTGTTGTTGTAGTTGTTGTAGTTGTAGTTGTTGTTGTTGCTGTTGTTGTAGTTGTAGTTCTAGTTGTTGTGTAGTTGTAGTTGTAGTTGTAGTTGTAGTTGTTGTTGTTGTTGTTGTTGCTGCTGTTGTCGTCGTAGTTAGGGTAGTTAAGTTAGTTAAGTTAGTCAAGTTAGTTAAGTTAATCAGTGTCTACTTTTTCGACATCGTAACGTCAAAAAAGGCTCAAAACCCTCAGTTTTTTACACTTTTGACTTCGAAATGTGCTTCGCGCCACAACGGCGTGCACTTTTTCGACACTTTTTCGACATCTGAACCTCCAAAAGTGGTCCGAGACCGCCAGTTTTTAACACTTTTGACTTGGAAATCTGCTTCGCGCCACAACGGCGTGCACTTTTTCGACATCTCAACTTCCAAAAGTGGTCCGGACCTGGTGTGCTTTGTACATTTTCACTTGGAAATGTGCTTCGCGCCACAACGGCGTGCACTTTTTCGACATCTCAACTTCCAAAAGTGGTCCGACGCTGAGGTGTTTTGTACCTTTTCACTTCGAAATGTGCTTCGCGCCACAACGGCGTGCACTTTTTCGGCATTGCAACTTCCAAAAGTGGTCCGGAGCTGAGGTGTTTTGTACCTTTTGACTTGCAAATGTGCTTCGCGCCACAACGGCGTGCAACTTTTCATCTCTCATCTGGCGAGTTGCCTCCGCACCCGCCGCTTTAACGAGCCTACTTTCGACCCTCCTGAGCCACAAAATCATTGGAAAAACACAGTGTTTCGCGACTTTCCTACCTTTTCGCGCATCTGCATCTTCTTTCTTCTGACTCTTTCTCTTCTGATCTTCTCTCTTCTAATCTTCCTCTTCTCTCTGCCTCTGCCCTGCTCTGCTTTTCATCTGTCCATATTGTCGGAAGTTTGACTTCTAAACTTCCTTCGATTAAAACATTCACCTGGAATTCCGGCTCCAAAACGTCAGCTTCGCAGGGCCCTAGCCCCGCCACCCTGAAGGACGGACGGGGTGCCAAACGGACGGACGGACAGGAGATCCCTCCCATGCACCTGTGCCGGACACCCCCTACTACTAAGCTACAGCACAACGACTTCCAGATCGAAGATCGCAAAACAAGAACAACATTAACGCCGAGTGCTAGCAAAGCAGCAAAACCATTTCCAGATCTAAGATCTACGATCTAAGACTACAAGAACAACACCAACTGCTGCAAGCCTAAGTCCGTGGTTTCTCTAACGCGCTCCCCCTGCAGCGCGCTGGGGTCGGCGGATATTGTTGTGTGCCTTCACGCGATGGGCAAAATTGATGAAGAAGAATCAACCGGCAGCGCCCACGTTTCTAGCAGTTGCCATACCATTTGTTGTCCAAGGTGATTGAGCCGTTGCTTGCTGCAGGCAGCTATTTTTCTCCCAGGCCCAGAGCAGTAGAACTAAAATTTCATCTATACGCAACCGAATTCTGAATTAAACTGAAGAATTCTGAATTAAACTGAAGCATAATTTTAATGTTTAATCATAATCTAATTATGAATTCCGTTTATGTGCTTTTCTTTAGTTTGAATTTCGTATTCCTTTGTTTCCCTTTCTTTGTCCTTCCTTCCTTTTTCCTGCTATTTTCCTATTGAATTCTGAAGTAAAACAAAATTGATTTTGAATCCAATTCTGCATTTCATTTATTTTATTCTATTTCCCTTTTGTTTGATTTGTCCTCTCTTCTTCCTTCGTTTCCTTTTCTCATTCTCTTTCCTTCCGTTTTCCTTCTATTTTTCCCAAAAGCATCTTCGATGCTTGGGTTCTCGTTTAGTTGTTTAACCGCGTGGGGAGCGAGCTGCTTTGAACGGTGGTGTGCGGACGGTGTGGGCGCAAGGGAAAGGAAGGAAAAGGAAGGGAAAGGAAGGGAACAGAAAGGACAGGAAAGGAAAGGAAGGGAAAGGAAGGGAAAGGAAATGAGTGGGGAGAAGAAGCCGCTGGGGATGAGCGAGCTTTGCTGCGCGGACGGATGCGGACGGCGTCGGTGCAAGGCTGTGGCTGGAAATGGGTGGGGAGAAGAAGCCGCTGGGGATGAGCTTTGCTGCGCGGACGGCTGCGGACGGCGTGGGTGCAAGGGGGTGGCTGGAAATGGGTTGGGAGAAGAAGCCGCTGGGGATGAGCGAGCTTGGCTGCGCGGACGGCTGCGGACGACGTGGGTGCAAGGGGGTGGCTGGAAATGTGTGGGGAGAAGAAGCCGCTGGAGATCAGCGAGCTTGCCTGCGCGGACGGCTGCGGACGGCGTGGGTGCAAGGGAGTGGCTGGAAATGGGTGGGGGAAAAAACCGCTGGGGATGAGCGAGCATTGGATGTGAGGAAGCTGTGGGTGCAAGGGGGTGGCTGGAAATGGATGGGGAGAAGAAGTCGTTGGAGATCAGCGAGCTTGGCTGCGCGGACGGCTGCGGACGGCGTGGGTGCTGGAAGTGGTTGGGGAGAAGAAGAATGAGATCAGCGAGCTTGGCTGCGCGGACGGCTGCGGACGGCGTGGGTGCAAGGGAGTGGCTGGAAATGGGTGGGGGAAAAAAACCGCTGGGGATGAGCGAGCTTGGCTGTGAGGAAGCTGCGGACGGCGTGGGTGCAAGGGGGTGGCCGGAAATGGATGGGGAGAAGAAGTCGTTGGAGATCAGCGAGCTTGGCTGCGCGGACGGCTGCGGACGGCGTGGGTGCTGGAAGTGGTTGGGGAGAAGAAGAAACCGCTGGAGATCAGCGAGCTTGGCTGCGCGGACGGCTGCGGACGGCGTGGGTGCAAGGGAGTGGGTGGAAATGTGTTGGGAGAAGAAGCCGCTGGGGATGAGCGAGCTTGGCTGCGCGGACGGCATGGGTCAAGAAAATGGGTGGGGGAAAAAAGCCTGAGCGAGCTTGGCTGCGACGGCTGCGGACGGCGTGGGTGCAAGGGGGCGGCTGGAAAGGTGGGAAGAAGAAGTCGTTGGAGATCAGCGAGCTTGGCTGCGCGGACGGCTGCGGACGGCGTGGGTGCTGGAAGTGGTTGGGGAGAAGAAGAATGAGATCAGCGAGCTTGGCTGCGCGGACGGCTGCGGATGGCGTGGGTGCAAGGGAGTGGGTGGAAATGGGCTGGGAGAAGAAGCCACTGGGGATGAGCGAGCTTGGCTGCGCGGACGGCTGCGGACGGCGTGGGTGCAAGGGGGTGGCTGGAAATGGGTGGGGAGAACGGGCATGGAAAATGGTTGCTTGTCGGCTGGCTATGTGCGCATATGAGCCGATAAAATAGATGCAAAGGGCGGGGCCAGCGAATAGATGGAGACATGGGGTAGGATGATTTGCTTTCTTGGGTTCTCGCTTGGCGTGTACATTTTTTGTATCTAATTTATTAAACGGTGTTGCTTTCCCAAAAGCATCTTCGAAGCTTGGGTTCTCGTTTAGTTGGTTAACCGCGTGGGGAGCGAGCTGCTTTGAACGGTGGTGTGCGGATGGTGTGGGTGCAAGGGAAAGGAAGGGAAAGGAAGGGAACAGAAGGGACAGGAAAGGAAAGGAAGGAAAAGGAAGGGAAAGGAAGGGAAAGGAAGGGAAAGGAAGGGAAAGGAAGGGAAAGGAAGGGAAAGGAAGGGAAAGGAAGGGAAAGAAAGAGAGGAAGGGAAAGGAAGGGAAAGAAAGGGAAAGGAAGGGAAAGAAAGGGAAAGAAAGGAAAGGATAGGTTGATTTGGAAATCAGCCGCCCTCGCATGACCGTGCTCAAATGAGTTTGCTTGGCTATTGCGCTCCGTCACTCATTTATTCCGTGCGCAGCTGAAAAAAAACTTGCGAGGTTTTCACTGCATGTGTCGGAGGTTGATTTGGAAATCAGCCGCCCTCGCATGACCGTGCTCAAATGAGTTTGCTTGGCTATTGCGCTCCGTCACTCATTTATTCCGCGCGCAGCTGAAAAGAAACTTGCGAGGTTTTCACTGCATGTGTCGGAGGTTGATTTGGAAATCAGCCGCCCTCGCATGACCGTGCTCAAATGAGCTTGCTTGGCTATTGCACACCGTCACTCAATGCTTCCGTGCAGAGCTGAAAAAAAGAATTTTGCAGTGAATGCGTCCATTATTTTCATCTTCTAAAAAGATGCTGTCAAGAGGCGAAAGGGAAATAAACCATTATTACTCAAATTTGTTTGTTGTCGTTTTGCTTTTGGGTTCTTAGGCCCCCCCTTGTTTCACTTGTCATTTTTGTTCCACGTTCCTTTTTCTGTTCCGTTCTTTATGATCAAGGTGTTCTAATTTAGCGATAACCTAGCAATAACCTTTGGTTGAAAAAGGAACCCTAGACGAGGGATAGACTCCTCATTTGATCCCAACAAGAAGAACCCAACAAAAAAAACGAACAGGTTCTCAACTCTATGTGCCATCAAGTTGTTTTGAGACTTGGGGAGCCTTAAGCACTTCTGCATAGCTAGGAACGCTTCTTTATTGGAACTATGAGGTCCCATCTTCAATTTCTAGAGCTTTTGAGTGTGGCGTTTTCTGACGCCATGGTTTGTCAAAGAGGGACAATTGCGAGGTGACCCTTTTTCGCTTTCATAGAATTATATAGTGATCTTATTCTTGATTAAGTTCAGAGTTGAACAGGGCTGCAAACGCAAAGACAACGAGCGCCCCTTCATCCATTCCCAGCAGTTTGGAGATCTGAATCCGTGAAACCAATTCCGCTGCATTTTTTTGCATTGTTTAGTGTTGATTTGAACAAAACAGTAAAAACGATAACCTTTATATATATTTTCGTACCAAGCATCAACAATTGATTGTGACGGCGGCTCATATGTATATTTGCTGATCCCGACATCGTAGATTTGCACAACAGGTCCGCGACGTCCTGCATGAAGTTCTGGCGCATTTTTGACTGGGCCTTGGGAGCAGTGTTTGTTGTATCCTTCCCGGCCTCAAAACCATTCCTGAATTCAGGTAAAATTGGAACAAATGGGTGCAAAAGACAGCCCGAACCCCTTTTGGCCTACATTGGTAGAAACCAACCAGCAAAGAGAACCCTTTATCATTTTCGGTTTCTTCCCAAAGCACACTGGACCCAGCTCCAGTAAACCTTGCCATGGCACCGCCACCGTTGGACGACGTCCAAAACGACTCTTTGTCCATTACATGCGCTGCATGTGACCCACCATGGATTCAGAGGCCACATGATGATGCTACATTATTCTACATGTGGGGGTGAATTTTGCTCCATTGACGTGTTGCTTCGCACAGCTGTCCGTGATTTTGAAAAACACTGAGGCTGTCGGCATGATCCTCGTGCCACGCTGATGGTTTATGTGTTCATCAGTGCTACCCTGGGTTTCATTGGAGTTCCACTTTTGCACCGACGGGTAAAGCAAGGCTATTTTCCTCACAAAGGCTTGCATCACAGTTTGTGTTTCTTGGCCAGCGACAAATGGCACAGTGGATAGACTGGAAGCATCGGAGCTTCCAGCCATTGCATGGAGGAACTTTTTGAGAGATCAAACGTTTCAGTTATCCCTAGACACTAACCTGCTAGGTTTTCTGTAAAAAATATTTTTCGAGGTTGCGTTGATACAGCACTGGTTGGAGCTTTCTACATTAGATACCGAAAGGGAAAGGTTGTAAATTGAAAGTAGAAGCTGAACAAATCGCTTCACGAGCCACGAGAAACAGTGTTATGGTCAGGGCATGCAGAGTTGCTGGGGCAGGAAAAAACAATTCAAGAGCGCGAATGATGCGAATGGGTTTGCGCCAAGGTTGGGGATTGGCTGCCACTGCCGCTTTGCAGGCGAGAAATGTGCTAGGCTAACAAACCAAGCCAAGTAATTTCTGCAAGAAGTGATGTGAGTGCACTGTTTACACCATTTGGGATCGGAATCAGAGAAATTGTTCGGTGATGAGGTTGGCGAGTTGGTGATTGATCCGATGGCAGGCAAAGGCGAGATGATTTCAACAATTCTTAAATGGACATTAGAGGTTGAGGATTGATTAGTGCAGATGTGGGAAAAGGGTCCCCATACTTCGAGATTGCGCAGCAAAGAGACCCCTAACATCCCCAAACAGTGAGAGTAGAACAGAAGAAAGGCAATCAGTGAGAGGTGTGAGAGGAAAGACATTGGAGTATCATTGGAGATTAAGTTTTCTTTAGTGCGAAGAAACATGTTCGGAATGCAGCAAGGAGCCTTTGTGTTTCGGCATGGGTTGAAGCGGCGCCTCCAGGGGTTGTATTGCTGGAAGCTGCCGCTTTTTGGCCTAGTTGCCGTTTTCTGGGGCTGGAGCTGGACACGCAGCAGCTTGCATCCAGGCTATCACACGACAACAATTTGGTAGTGGCATTGTGACAAATTGCAGTGGCAGTTGTTGTGAGCGTGGTCCAGCTAGGTGCTAGTGGCCTGTTTTCATGGGCAGCATCCGAGGCATGCGCCCGAGAAAACCTAGGCGACTTTGCTGCAAACGACAAGGGAAATTGTGATCAGAACCTTTTGAAAACAGTAACCCTGCGCAGTTCTCCTCCAATTTGCATGACCTACACTGCCCAGTGACCCCACAGGGTACGCGAGAGACCGCGGAGTTTTGCCCCTGGCGCAGTCCATCGGCCTTGTGCAAGCGGATTGCAGCGCATTGCCATTGGCGGCAGGTTCTGTGGACGTTGCCACTTGGCGGGCATTTTCACTTGACGTGAGTGCTGGCATGAGAACTGAAGATGTTTTCCTTTGTTTGTTTCACCTCAACTTTTCATTTGTGTCACCTTATTTTTTTGTGCAACCTTAACTTTTTATTTGTGTCGCCTTAACTTTTTACTTGTCACCTTAACTTTTTGCATGTATCACCAAAAATGAGCCCAAAATGACCCTAAAATGAGCCAAATTGTGTCACTTTAAGTCCGGGACGTAAGATGACACAAATCCCAAAAGTTGAGGTGACACAAAGTGCAGTTCCTCACCAAAAGTTGATTGCTAAAATTTCATGGATCTCATGAGATTCCATTGGGTTTGGTGATGTTTGTTTGCTACAAATCTCATGGATTCCCGTAAGATCCCATTGGATTTGATGAGATTTGATTGCAACAATTTCATGGGTCCCATGATAGTATACCATGCCCTCTGGACAAGGTCTGAACATGACTTTTTTGGCAATACTAAAAGTAAATAGAGCTAATTGACTTTTAGTATTGGGGAAAAAATTGGAGTTGGGAAAAAAGTTTCTACTATTGCCATGTTGGGTCCACTATTGGCCATGCCCTCTGGACAAGGTCTGAACATGACTCTTTTGGCAATACTGAAAGTAAATAGAGCTAATTGACTTTTAGTATTGGAGATAAAACTGGAGTTGCGGAAAAATGTTTCTGCAATTGACAAGATATCACTATTGGTCAGACAACATTAATAGGGTTTGTGTCACTTTAACGGTGACACAAATAAAAAGTTATATGACACAAATAAGAAGTTAGGTGACACAGGTGAAAAGTTAAGGTGACACAAAAAACAGTTAAGGTGACACGGGTAAAAAGTTAAGATGACACAAATAAAACCTTAAGGTGATGCAAATAAAGAGTTAAGGTGACACAAAAGCAAAAGTTAAGGTACTGCAACACAAACCCAAAGTTAAGATAACACAGGGGTCGAAAGAAAACGTGTTAGAGCAACATGCTAAATACATACAAGCAAACCAGCACACTTGCATGTATGCATGCATGCTTATGTACTGTCACTGGGATTATATATATATATATATATATCTATATATATATATATATATAAATATGTATATGTTCCCATCACTTGCCAGGTGAATGTGAATCTGGTGGTTCTCAGAGCAGCTTCTTGGCTCATGAGTGTGACGTTTTTGGCGTCAGCACTCGAAGTTGTGCGGGAATTCCGCTGGTGGTTTCCTGTTAGCCCCCCCGGCTGCTCGATCTCTGCGCTGATCCTGGGAGCGGTCCTGCTGTTTCTGGGTTGGCTTTCTGCTAGCCTGTTGCCTAGTGTCAGCTCGGTGCCGGCACTGGCTTTGGCATTGCACTGCATCTGCAGCAGTTCTGCTACAAGATCTTCCTGTTGCCAGAGGACTGGTTGAGCTGAGGACACGTTTCAGGGATTACCATCGTGCATGAGCAGTGCTTGTTTCCAATTTCGTGATTTGATTCTGCATTCGATTTGGGGCTCTCTGCATCCGTTCCTGCTCCCCCGCTGCCTGAACTTCCTCGTGACCTTTGGCCTCGTGAGCTAGTTGCTGGTCGGCCAGTAGCGGCTGTTGAACTTTGGGCTGCTGATTCTCCAGTCCTACCTTGGGCTGTTGTGGAATTATCTGAGGATCGACTTTGTTTTCCAACTGATCGACGCAACCTCGGCTGAGGAGCTGTCTGAATTGCTGCCTTCATTTTTGATTCAGTTTTGTGATCACCCTGATTTGATTCCTTTTGTCCACATCTGGACTTCTCGAGCACGGCTTGCTCGCGCGTTCAGGGCTGGAGTTTCGGCCCACCGAGTGCTTCAAGGTCTTTTTGACAAACAGGTTTGCCCTCCTGGCTTTTCAGTTCGTGTGCGCAACCAAGTGTACGTGGTGGCTCGCTGCCGCCAGTTCCCTGGAGGCTTCTTACACCAAAGAGTTGAGTACGGGATTTACTGCGACCAGTTGGTTGTAGACGGATCTTTGGAAGAGGGCAGCGTCTCTCACGCTTTCCCTTCCTTGGTGGAAGCTGAGGTGTTCCCTCGCGGGTGCCAGTTCCAGCGATGGCCACCAGAGTTAGCCTTGAACCACTGAGCTTTGAAGTGATTGCAGAGAAGATTCAACAGGTGTCGGCGAAGAAGGTTTTGGCCACTGCAGTTTTGACAGGGAATTTTGGTGCGTATTTTGGCCCACTTGCTGCGATGCCGACCCTCTGGTTTCATGGTCATGCTCCCTGTACTCGAAGAAGTTCAGGGTGTATTGGACCAGTTGGTGGACGAAGAGGGGACCAGCCTGTTCGTCAGCAGGGAAGTCGAAGTACCTTTGGAAGATTCCGCCGGCCGTAAGTTTGGAGTCGGCGCATGTCGGCGCTATGGCGTTGGTCGATTTCGTGGCCGACTGCGCTGCCCAGTTTGCTCGCACCCCGGCTTTGCGAGGTGCTGCTTCCACTGGCCTGCTGCGCATGACAGTGCGGGGCGCTGTGGCTCGACCAGCCTCACGTGGTGTTTTGCAACTAGCAGCAGCCTGGATCGACGAGATGGCGGAGATCGACGAGAACCTCCAAAAGTATTTCACTGGCGAGGACGGCGAGGGGCTCCCCGAGCCTTCCGCTTCTGGGGCTGCCTATGTCGAAGCCGATGTGGTTCAACAGCTCCAAGCTCGCATAGCCCAGCTGGAAGCACAAGCAGGCGCTCGAACATTGCCATCAGTTGCGCCAGTGGTGGACTTAGAGCCTCGCCCTCATGGGCCTGGCCGTTCAGTTTTGTTCAGTCCCAGTGCTCTAGGGGGAACAGTCGATCGAAGCACTTTGTAGGGCTTGTTACAACTTGCCGGACCCGCTCCTCAGAGGTTGACCAAGTCCGAGGCTCCTGCAACTGGGGCGCCTACAGCCGCCCAAGATGCCTTCGCCGAATTGGAGGCGGGGGCATCCAAGGTGCTCCACACGAGCACCGATCCTCTTCATCAACTGCTGGCTTAGATGAAGCAGACTGCGGCCCTTATGCAGAAGCTCCTTCCTGCGGCCAAGGACCTTGTTTCAGCCGCCCTGGGCAGCGAAAGCGGCAACTCGCAAAGCGGCGTCACAATTTGTGTGGCTCGCGAAGCCTTTGTGAGGACCATGGAAGATGTGATCCAGACCGGCCGTCTGATAGCCACCAATGCTTTCAACGACTTGGGGCTGCCTCCGGATCAGGTGAACAGTGGTTTGATGCGAGCCTATATGTGGAGCGCGAGACCAAGCACGAGTTGCCATGGGGCTCTTGGCCCGTGGCCTGATGATGGTGCAGCAGTTGGCCTTAGACCAAGGCCGTTGCCAGTTCGGTTGGCTTTTGACGGGAATGCCAGATCCAAACCTGCAGGCCATTTCAATGAACCGCAAGAGGATTGATTTGACCCCAGTATACGCCAAAGTGGCCGCGGCACCATGGGTGGCGGGCAGCATAGCCTATCTCAAAGACCTCGACTACCTGGAAGGTCGGTTGAAGAATCCAAAGGTATCAGACAAACCCAGCAAAGAAGATCCCACAGACGAAGATGCTCCGAAAGGCCCTCGTCGTTCCTGGAAGCCGAAGAAGCCCCAGAACAAGACAAAGGCCGATCCGAGCGAGTCTACCTCGACTGCGTGAGCCCTGAGCTGAAGTCAGATGTGGCTGGGCCCATTTTGAGGCCGCCCGGTTGTGATGCTGTTCCGGTTCTGAGTCCTGCGAGAAAATTGAGTGATTCTCAGGATTTAAGCTAGAGCCGCTCCTGCTGAGTGCGAAGCCGCTTTTTTCCAGTCTCCGGTTGACAGTGAAATTCCACAGTTCAATCCATCTGACCAACCGACCAATTTGTTTTGTAAAGTTTTTGCAGTTTTTTGTTTCTCATGCGAATGCTGTTCATGTTGGCCTTGGTCGTTTTGTCCGACTGTCAACTCAGCTTCGGTCCCGCAACGTTCCCACATGTTGGACGGGCCCATCACGAGCTTCGCCCCGACGGCGTCATCGTTTCAGGCTTCATAAGATCCGTAATTCACTGCTCCAACTTGTGATGGGCATTCTCAATTGGGAGGCTCTTGGACATCCCGTCAACCCGCCACCGCAGGCTTGTGCTGGTTATGGTTACTCGGATGAGCGGTGGGCTATGGTTTGTAAGCTCGAGCGTTTGATTGGCCATTCAGGCTAGTGCAATCTCCTCACGAACCTTAGGGCGTTGTAGTGAAAAATTCAGCCTGCTGCTGCGTGCGTGTCAGGAACTGCCTGGTAAGCAGGAAGTGGACCTTGATAGCGTAATTTATAATCTTGAAAGCGACCTGGATCCGTACTCTTCCAAGCCGGCTCGCCTGAGCACTCATGAGTCGGTTCCTCAAGTGCCCCCTAATCCTGATAATCCTCCCACTAGGCATGTCCTGATAGGCAACCCTTGGGAGTAACCCATATGCCTAAGACGGTTGCTAAGCCAGTTGTTGCGGACAGGATTAAATGGGAGCATAGTCCTAGTTTTGACCCAGTTCCATTCCTTGTTGACCCAATCGTACGCCAAGCTTTCTTAGATCCTTTGAGCGTCAGGCTCCCCTCCCACCAATGGCCTGACCAACCCCGGGGAAGGGCTCACTGCAGTCGATCCGAACTGCTTGCACTCGCTGGTAAATGGGATTCTAAAGGGGCTTATAAAATTTTTCGGTTGGATGAGATCAACTGGGATGAAGCTGCTGGGATGTTTGCTGTGCCGAAAGATGATGCTTTTGATAGGCTGATCCTTAACCCCCAAACTGTAAACAGTAGGATGATTTCTTTCTCACACTACACCAAGCAGTTGGCTCCTGGATCGATTGATCCATTTTGCCTCCAGGGTTTCGGCTCCGGATTTCAGCTGATGATTTAGCAAATTTAGCAGAAATGTACTACACAGTGAAGATCCCTGCAGCGCGTGCAAAAAGGAATAGCATTGGCAAAGTTTTTTGCGCGTCAGAGTTGCAACAGTGTTTCAACCCTTCCGAGCATTTTGGACCGTGTGTCCGAGCACTCATCTGTGCCCCCGACATTTTTCTCATCTGTGCACCGCACATTTTCCTCATCTGTGCATCCTCATTTGCTTCCATCATAGCTTCCATAGTGTTTCTTGTGACTGTTTCCATGGTTTCCATGGTTTCTATACCGGGTTTCCATGGTTTCCATGGTTTCTATGGTTCCCATGGTTTCTATACTTTCTCATGGTTTCCATGGTTTCCATGGTTTGTATTGGCTTTGTGCGGTTTCCATGGTTTCTATGCGGTTTCCATGGTTTCTATAATGCGTCTCCGGTTTCCATGGTTTCCATGGTTTCCATGGTTTCCATGGTTTCCATAGTTTGTAGTGGCTTTGTGCGGTTTCCATGGTTTCCATGGTTTCTATGCAGTTTCCATGGTTTCTATACTGCGTCTCCGGTTTCCATGGTTTCCATGGTTTCTATGGTTTTTATTGGCTTTGTGAGGGTTCCATGGTTTCCATGGTTTCTATGCGGTTTCCATGGTTTCTACGGCGTCTCCGGTTTTATATGGTTTCAATGGTTTCTATGCGGTTTCCATGGTTTCTATACTGCGTCTCCGGTTTCCATGGTTTCCATTGACTCTATACATGTTTTCTGTGGTTTTGGTCGTTTCTATGGTTTCCATTGGCCATTGGCTTTGCGTATTGGCTTTGTACGGTTTCCATGGTTTCCTTGGTTTCTATTCGGTTTCTGTGGTTGCTATAATTCCCCACCCGCTTTTATTTTTTAATGGGCTTCCCTTGCTACCTACACTTTCCTTTTTTCATAAGCATCATCGGTTACCCTAGTGTAGCCTACACTCTTTCCTTTTCTCATAAGCATCATCGGCTATTTGGGTTCATTTTATCTTTATTGATATCCATCGCCACTTGTGCCTATGTGCTTCTTTCTTGGTACGCATTGCGGGGGGAGGCGCTGCGCCCTCCCCTCTGCACCCCTCCACCCGCTTTTATTTTTTAATGGGTTTCCCTTGCTACCTACACCCTTCCCTTTTTTCATAAGCATCATCGGTTATTTGGATTCATTTTATCTTTATTGATATCCATCGCCACTTGTGCCTATCTGTGCTTCTTTCTTGGTACGCATTGCGGGGAGAGGCGCTGCGCCCTCCCCCCTGCACCCCTCCAACCGCTTTTATCTTTTAATGGGCTTCCCTTGCTACCTACACTCTTTCCTTTTTTCATAAGCATCATCGGTTATTTGGATTCATTTTATTTTTACTGATATCCATCGCGACTTGTGCCTATGTATTTCTTTCTTGGTACGCATTGCGGGGGGAGGCGCTGCGCCCTCCCCCCTGCACCCCCCCCACCCGCTTTTATTTTTTAATCGGTTTCCCTTGCTACCTGCTCTTTCCTTTTTTTCATAAGCATCGTTTCTTTGGGTTCATCTTCTCTTTGTTAATCTTTATTTATATCGAGACTTGAGCCTATGTGCTTCTTTCTTGGTACTTTATTGATATCCATCGCCACTTGTGCCTATGTACTTCTTTCTTTCTACGCGTTGCGGGGGGAGGCGCTGCGCCCTTGTTTTTGTTTCGACCTAATACCTACAGAGGTACATGCATGAGTATTGAGCACATTTATATGCGCCCCTCAAGGCTCAAGAGGTACAATAGAGTAACCCTGTAGACAGAGCACTGACCGGCAGAACGCTGAGTAAAAGAGTGCTGTCATTGGGGAAGACGCCTTAGCTGATCTTGAAGTAGACGCTAGGGCCCCTCTTCAAGTGGTAGCGGAGCAGTGATCCCTCATTGAGGGTGAGCTCCAGGTAGAGCCCAAGCAATGGCACGCCATGGCTTTGATGATGATGACTTCGACATTGTCGATGCAGATGGATGGAACCAATATGACTCTTATGCAATGAGAAGAGCACCCCAGCAGACACAGATTCACATGACGCAACAGATGACCACAAAGGTAGCTCCAGCATATGATGGAAGAACTAGTTTCTTTGCTTTTGAAGATGCAATTGATGACTGGTGTGACATCACGGAGTTAGAACCAGAGAAACGTGGTCCAGCCTTGCGCAATAGACTGGAAGGAGATGCTCTACAATACAAGAGGCTATTGGATAGAGATATGCTCAGGGATCCCCATGAAGGAGTGAACTATTTCAAAAGATTTCTACGACCTCATTTCATCAAGGGTGCCCAGAACGTGTTCTTATACCGTTTCATGCAGTTCATGAAGTTCAACAGAGGAACTATGGATCTTCAGAAGTGGATGACTAGATTTCAACTCACTGGAAATAGACTTATTGAGTCTTGGATGGATTTACTTCCAGAAGCAACAGTGACTAGTCCTGAAGCAATCGTGTTTGTTGCACAAAATCGTCAAGAACATGAACGAGATCAACAAGAGAGAGCTGAAGTAGCAGCAGCCTCAGGAGCAGCTCCTCATGTAGTTGTTCCTTGGTCAGATGAACTGGCATTAGTGGCATTCAGACAGTACAATGAGCAGCGTAGACAAGTACAAAGACAGGCATTCCCACTGGGTGAGAATTTGCTAGCATTGATTTTTGTAAGTCTAGCAGACCTGACACAGGATCAGAGAAACACACTTACAAGTATCATGACACATCGTGGACGAACCCTCGATCAATACAACATTCAAGAACTACGTGATCTGTTTTTGGAAATGTTTTGCACTACCAAAACAGCAGTTGACAATCCAATGATGCAACCCTCTGGCATGGCACAGAGAAGATCTTTCCTCGTACTGGAAGAAGGTGAATTAGAAGGAACCGGCGGCTATTGGGCCGAAGATGATGAAGACGGCGCAGAAGGATTCCTGGATGCTTTAGAAGATGTTTTCTGGGTTTATGATGACGCTGACTACACATGGTATCAGAGAAGGTTCCAAGGCAGACAGACCAGACGAGGCAAAGGTAAAGGAAAGAGAAAAGGAAAAGGAAAAGGCAGAGGAGGACGAAGGTTCTTCAGATCAAGGAAAGGAAAAGGCCAAGGAAAAGGAAGAAGGAAAGGCCGTGCTCACATGGTGAGGGAAGAAGGTTATGAAGAAGATTGGCAAGAAGAAGAATGGAATGAAAACTATGAAGGCTATTGGGCCGATGATCAAAACTGGAATGAAGGCTATTGGGCCTATGATGATCTGTACTACATGGATGAGTATGGATACTTCCAGAGGAAAGGAAAAGGAAAAGGAAAAGGAAAGAAAGGCAAGAAAGGCAAGGATGATGATGGAAAAGGAGGAAAGCCAGGAGATGGAAAAGGCAAGTCAAACTATGTTCAACCTCAGACCACATCAATTCCTGCCATACAAAACCAACAAACCCAACAAGCTCATTATTCTTCTACTGCATCAAGTTCTGGTCATGGTTTCTTTGCTTTTGCAAGAACTGAACCATTACGTGTTGATGTTGCAGAGACAGAGCCAGCACGTGTTGATGTTTTGACATCCACGTATGAACAACAAGAAGTACAACGACGCACTCGTCGTGGAGGACAGAACCAACGTGATGCAACAGCACAGCAAAACAGGAGAAGATTCCCTGTTCTGGTTGAAAATCTTGATGCACTTCGACGAGGTGTACAACGACGTCCAGCTCGTGTACCCAGGCAAGTTGGTCTTCAAGAAGGTGAGGCTTCATGGAAGCCACTGGCAAAAGGCACATCATTGTTTTCATATGGATGCTCTACAGGGATAGAGGTACCATCACAGCAGAGTGCTTTTTCATTTCATACTGTACAGACTGATCTGGCATGTGAGAAAGGACTAGCTTTTCACACAGAGAATTCTGCACCATCAACTGTATGTATCCTGGATCTTGGATGCACAAGAGCTATGGGCTCTCGACGAGCAGTTGAAGCATTTTGCAGATATGTTGGCTCACATCCCAACAGTGGACTCTGGTATGAAATTCAGCCAACAAGTTCAAGATTCTTCTTTGCAAATTCACAACAATCCAAATGTACTGAGAAGTTCGTGATATTCATGTATGATCATGGATGGAACACTCAGTTCACAGAATTCGACATTGTCGAAGAAGGTGATGTCCCATGGTTGATGTCACTTCCACAGATGAGTAACCTTGGATTTCAATTTGAACTTACTCCAGAGAAGGCTTATTTGTCCTGTGCACGTATTGGCATGAGAAAAATGGTTTTGAAGACAGCCATCAGTACTCATCTCATTCTCGACCTACAAGATGTAGCATGGTACATGAGCCAAGTTCATTTCAAGACTCCTCAAGTCAAGAGTTTCTTTTCACAACACGATCACTTTGAGTACAGCCAGATTGCTGTCAAACAAGATGTTCATGAAGAAGAAGCTTTGGTGACTGGTGACTATTGGCAAGTTGATCCATTACGTCGTGAGCTCATCAGGCACCACAAGGACAAGAGAAGGAATCTACATGAGATGAATCGATCAGATGAGACTCCAATTCCAAAAGATCAACTTCTTGATGAGAGAGAAACACACCAAGAATTCCAGAAGAGCAAGAAGAAGGTTCTTCACAAGGACAACTGGGCGCACAGACAGGAAGAGTTTTTCTGAACAGAGTGAAGAGTTCTGGAAGGGTAAAACCATCTACAAGATCAAGGAGGACTACGTGATCCCAGATGACATTGTCAGAAGTGACATTGATCGTGCAAAGCCCTTTCGTGGAAACATTGATGAACTTTTTCACCCTGAGTCAGCCTCTTCAGTGCCATCAGGTGTACAGAAGAAGAAGCCATGCTCCTCACAGAAGGAGGTAGGCAAACCGATTTCGAAAGGACCAAGCTCGAAAAAGATTGAGGTAGGTCCTCCAGCAGCCAAGAGACACGTAGGTAAGCAGAAACCTCAAGTTGGCGATGACTCTCAATCAGGTTCATCAAGAAAGAAGATTGTTGTCTCCTATCCCAAGCTTGATGAAGAAGATGAACTTGACATAAGAGCTAGGGAGTTAGGTTTGGACAAAATTGATTCAGATGAACCTCAAGTCATTGAGCCAAAACCTTCTGCACCTGCGCGCAACCGTGGTAAGCAAGATTCAGAAAGTCAAGTTGAGAAACTAGGTAGTGATGCTCTTGAGCCTAGGCGAGTTTCGATTCCACGGCCTGGTAGTGAAGTGCAAGCCATGACACCAGCATACAGAAAGATGCTCAGGAAACTGGAGGATAGTGTGGAACTTTACAAGCTTCATAATTCCCAAACACTACCAATTCTTCCTACTCAATTCAGACGAAGGACTTCCATGTTTAGGATTCATGATCTGCATTCTGCACATGTTTTCGTCATTACCAGTCTCCATGGGTTATGAGGTATAGTTTGTGCTCTCTGTTGACCTATTATTTATTCCAACTCTGAACTATTCAATTAACTACTCGTATCCAACCAATAGCCTACCCACTCCTTATTCTCATTAGTTTTTTCAAATTTTCGTGTCCCCACTACAACTATCCCACGATTACCGCCACCCCCGCTTTTTCCTCTTCAATCCCTCCTTCTTCCCTTTCATCCAAATAAACCCCGTTCTACCCTCGATGCTGATTTGTTTAAACACAAGCATATTATACTTATGAGCAGTATGGAGCTTAATCCATGTATGGAAAAAAATGAAGAAGAAATGTACAACAAGTGTCGTGTGTGTAGTACTTCAATTGCACCACCGCCGAGAGCCAGAATTTCAGGCATACGATCCACCAACTTTGGAGATGTTATCTTTGTTGATCATGCTGAAATTCAGTTGGGGAAGAACAAGTACATGGTGTTGCTTGTTCTTGATGGTGCAACTAACTTACTTTGGGCTACGGCACAAAACTCACTGAACAACAAGGAGACCATTCAGGCTCTAAGGTTGTGGACTGATGAACATAATTGTATGCCGAAAGCCATCGTAGGTGATGAGGCATTCTTTCAAGAAGACTTTCTGACTTATTACCGAACTCATGGTATCAAGGAATGTCCCTGTGGTTCAAGAACCCCATGGCCTAACAGAGCTGAATCAGCTGTCAGACTTTTCAAACGACAATGGCAAATCATGTCCAAGAACCTTGAAGATGATAGGTTCAAGGGAATTACCATCAGAGAAGCTGTGAAGCGCACTGTTTGGGCCAGAAACACTCAACTCACTGTTAGTGGTTATTCTCCTTTGGAAATTGCCACTGGTAGACGGCCACCAGATCTTCTGGACATTGAGACTTCTGATCCTGCTCAACTTAGTGTTGATCCTTTACCTGAAGACAAAACCCAACTTGAGTTGCAAAGGTTAGCACTGAGGGCACATCAGGAAGCCAGACAAGCTGCTGACCTCAGAAATGACATGGCCAAACGAACAATGCCATCAGATGGACCTTACAAACCAGGTGACAAGGTTTTCGTTTGGAGTTCCCCTGTCAATGCTAATGCTATTGCTTCAAAGGCATGGAAGAAGGAAAGATGGATCAGAGGTACTGTTATCTCTCAAAAAGGTGCTATGGTCAATGTTCATGTTGACAACGCAGTCATGCGTGTCAATCAATCAAAGGTAAGACGTGACCATGATGAATGGCATGATGTTGCTGTTCCTGGACTTGACACATCAGAACCTGTTCCACTTGCAGTTGAAGATGAAGATGACTATGACCCAGATATAGCTGAATATGCTGAAGCCTACTTAGGTGAACAAGCTCACTGGTTCTGTCAAACTGGCAAGTGTGATGTTGTGGAACTCTTCAGTAGCAACACTGGTCTTAGTTGGCACATGGCACGATTGAACATGAAGGTTGGTGAACCCCTTGACCACAAGCATGGTTGGAGTTTCAACAGTAAGAAGAAACAAAACCAAGTTTGGAAACAACTTGAGAAGCTTGATCCTGAATATGTGTTGATCACAAATCCTTCACCAAATTCCTGGAAATACTCGGTATTCAAGTTTTGCCTTGATGTGATAAAATGGCAAGTTGACCGAGGAAAAGGTTTCTTGGTGATTGCACCACCTGATTCAGAATTTGCTCAGTTCTTGGCTTGGAAGAAATTTCAGAAGGACAGAATCAAGTATCACATCGGTTGTTTCAACCTTGACATGACAAACTACTGTCGTTGTGATTCTTTAATCAAAAACTTGCGCGTGTTTTACAATCATGATGAAGACTTTGACATGTTGGAACCACAGCATGCCTTCAGTAGAGAAGGGAAGCTTTGGAATGATCCACAATGGAAGATCTTGCCATCATACTTGTGCTCGTTCATTGCACAGTTCACACAACTTGTACCTTTGAGGGACATGAGACAGTATTTCTTGTTTGAAGATCTGTTGGAACATTTTGATGATGGAGCATTGTGTGGACCGTGAACCTGAGTGCTCGTGTTTGTTGCAAGACTTGCATCATGTTGAGACCTCGATTCCAGTGCCATTGAAGCACATCCTTCCACAGAGGTTTACCACTCAGATACTTGTTCAAACATTGAGAAAGATTGATCACTTGCCAAGGAGTACAGAGGCTAGTGTCAGAGAGTCAACTGACACCAGAATCACTGAATTGATTCCTGGACTTCAAAATGTCAGGAAAAAGACATTGCCTCAAATGTACTTTGAAGATTGCAGTGTGTTCAGGGGAACTTATGGAAGAGTGAATCCTTTGTTTCAACATCCTGAAGATGCTGTCTTACTCATTTGGAAACCTGGTGACTATGATCATGTTTACTTCATGTTTGTGTCACAGTTGTATCCACATCATGAACAGTTCAAAATCCATGAATGGAGTATGATCGTCTTTTCACGAGAAACGACTGGTGCTATCAAAAGGAGAGTTGAAAATCCTCCTAGTTCAAGTAGCACTCCACCAAATGGTGACGATCCTATTCATCCAGATCAGCATGGTGATGTTCCACCAAATGATGATGAGATGTTGAGTGGTGATGAACCAGAAGATCCTCTGGATGATGATAATCAACCTGATCACAATACTGGACCTGATCCAGATGATGATGATGACCAAGAGTACATCTTTCCAGATGATTATGGACCACCACCTGATGATGATTTGGATATGCCAGGAATACAGGACTCGGGGGAAAAACATCAACCAAGTTCACCATCAACTCCGTTTTCCAATTCTGACATTCCAACCGAAGAGATTGCTGATCCTGGACAAGATGACGATTCTCCACCAGGACCTGATCCGACGTCAGAGCCTATCAGAGTTCAAAGGAAACAGAGACAGATCTCAACTGATTCTACTGATGCTTTACGAAAGGCAAAGGCAAAGGTGATTATCAAGAGGCCAAAGGTTCAATTACCAGGTCATGTTCAGCCAATCTCAGTTCCTACTCAGAAACCTCATGATGAAGAAGATGAAGGACCTTCACATGATCCTACTGCCTCAAGTTCACATGATAATACAATTCCATTGCCTACTACTACACCGACATCGTTCACGCCAGGTGATTTTGCGCAGCCAGCGCAACAGCAGTCTTCAAGGAACACCAGAATTGGTATCATCACAAAACGATGATGATGAAACAGAACCATATGAAACAGACGATACTCCGTTTTGACTGAGGATGACATTGCTCAGCTTCAGGAAGAAGATGTGGACACTGAACCTTTCACATCAGACCACTCTCATTTTGTCGACGTTGATGGTACTGTTTTTGTTCCTTTAGGACCCAAGGTCCAAGCTGCACCTGATTTTGGTTCATACGATGTTACTGGGTTCAAACAGTTTGAACAGTATCTTGCCAAGAATGGGAAGAAGCAGCCAAAGGCAGAATCAGTTATCACACAAGAAGTCTTGAGAAAGTATGCTAAGGAGATCAAACAAGCCAAGCTTGAAGAATTCAGAAGTTTTCTGGATTTCACTGCCATGACTTTCAGAGACAAGAGACGTCATAAGATCGATAACTATGTCACTGGCAGATGGGTGCTTACCATCAAGGTTGATAAGGATGGACAGTTCAAGAAGTTCAAGGCTAGATGGGGATGTAGAGGCTTTCAAGATGCTCAAAAGTATGACTTACAGACTGACAGTCCTACTGCTACCAGGTATGGTTTTCGTGTGGCATCTCAGCATGCAGCCTCGATGTACTGGGATTTATTCCATTTAGACTTGAAAACTGCCTTCCTTCAGGGGGAAACATACGACTTAGACCGACGCGTTATCCATGTTCAGTTGCCTACTGACATTGGTTTGCCTCCTTACTTGGTTGGTTTGTGCACTCGTTCCGTCTATGGACTTGCGGATGCACCACGTAGATGGTGGAACCGCCTTGGCAAATTTCTGATTTCGCTTGGTATTCAACCAACAAGAGCTGACAGGTGTACATATGTATGCTATGATGGTGCTTTTAAGGAGCCAAAACAGGTTAGCTTTGCTGACTCTGAGGCAACAGAACCAGGTAACCAGAACCAGGTAACCAGCACCTGTGACATACTACGTAAGCTCACAAGACAGTGAGGAAACGCGTGATGAATCCTCCGACATTGCTGAGGAAGTTCATAAGTCTCTTTTGGTTGAAGAAAGATTGTTTTCAGCTTGCTATCAACAAACCCAAACATGGAAACAGAGAAAAGAGTTCAAGGAGAAGAAGGTTGAAGATTGTGCTTGGACTCCTGTTGTTGATGAAACCTTGTTGAAGTTTTTGGAATCTGTTGAACACAAGCCTGGTTGGTATCCTTTTGAAAATGGTCATGCTCAAGTTGCTTATCGTGCAAAAGCTTTGAGAACTCCTGATTCACATTATGATCGAAAGAAGTTTCACTTGAGAACTTGTATTGTGAAGAGGAAAGGAGTTTGGTGGTTGATTGAGATGAATCATGACATGAACAAGGAAAATGTTTCCACAAGTTTGGAAGAAGAAGCTGAAGTACTTGTTTCAGTCTTCTTACCTTCAGAGCGTGCTTATCTCGCCACGACACCACAGTTGACACCTGAGATTGTTGAAGAACTCTTGGAACACAGAAATCGTCCTGTGCCACCTCCCAGCAAGGCCTGTCCGTCTTGGCTTGCTGCACTGTGTGAAGGCAACCATGATCGCTTTGACCGAATTTTGGAAGCCTCTAAGTGCACGAAGCTTGCCGCCCGGTGGCTTCAATTTTTGCTGCTGCTTGGAGTCGGGGACATCGAACGCAATCCAGGGCCCGGCTTTGTTCGCCGCCCTAGGGTGCCTCGAGGTGAACTTTCAATGACTGTTGGCTTCGCTGAAGCAACCACGAAGCGGATGCAGTCGTGCCTTGACAGTTTTGCTGTGTGGCTGGCCTCTGGTCTGAGCTTGGATGCCATTGGCTGGGACTTTGTAGCTGGGCCTCTGGCTCTTAGAGCGTATGGCATGTATTTATTTTCAGAGGGCTTTCCTCGTTACATGTATGTGTGCACAATCACGGCCATGCAGGACACGTACCCGCACCTGCGACCTTTCTTCAGTTCGGCTTGGCAGATTGACAGGAAGTGGCAACAATTTGAGCCGGGGCACTGCAGACCGGTGCTTTCAGCTCCGATTTTCCGTGCCATCACTTCCTTGTGTCTGCTCTGGAAGTGGTACAGATGGTTGGGCATCACGCTCATCGGTTTCCTTGGAATGCTTCATCCTGCGGAATTCATTCATCTAGTAGGAGCAGATATCCTGCTGCCAGAAGATACCTTGAGCGATTCCCCAGTGTTCTATGTGCACATTCGGAATCCCAAGACAGCGAGACTTGCCAGAAAGCAACATTGTAAGATTGATGACTCTACAGTACTTGCCTACGTCACTGCTGTTTTTGGCGATTTGCAGCCTGCAGCTCCTTTGTTTCTGGGCGGTTCTTCTGCTTACCGAAGACGATGGAATTTGGTGCTGGACAAGTTGGGTATAGCTGTCTCTATGCACCGCAGAGGTGCTACTCCTGCAGTGTTGCGTGGCAGTGGAGCTACAGCTCTCTATTTACAAAGCGAGGATTTGAGCCTCATCCAGTGGAGAGGCCGTTGGGCCCAGCTGAAGACAGTTGAGCATTACATCCAGGAGGTGGCTGGACAGTCTCTTTTGGCGCAGATGTCACCTCACCCTCGTGAGGTTGTGAAACTGTTTGCTGAAGCTGCTGAGCCGTTGATTTCTGCCTTTTTGGTTGACAAGTCAAAGAATTGATTGAATGGAGAGGTGGATCATTTCCAGGTTTTTACTGTCTGATGTGGATGGCAGCTGCGTTGGATGGATCTATTGCCTGGTGGTCTCCACCTCTTTTGTTTCATCGCTGAGACTTCAGCGCTGGGAAGACTTGCCAACAGCGGGACAAAATGAGACGGCTGTGTGATACATAAATATGCACATGGGCACACGCATACGTGCAAATACATTTGCATTTGATCATCTGTAAGTATATACAATGTGTTTGTATATTTTGTTCTTGGGACTTATGTGTTTACACAGGTGTGTCCGCAAAATGCATATGCATACATAGTTTTTTGTTTTTAAGTATGTGTATGTGTATGTTCATGTATATGTGCACATGTGTCTGCATATGTATGACTACATGTGCACGTATCATGTACATGGTACGCATCGAATATGTTTGGCACATGAAAAAACGGAACACGTTTTTAAACATCAAAAGAAACCGGAATATAGTGTGTACAGTTGATGCAACCTGAATTTATCTCAACAAAAGCTTCATGCTTTGCCACCATACTGGGGAGGATTTTTTTAAGGACTGGGTTTGCGTGGCAAGAGCCGGTGAATACAGATACATGGAAGAACGAGCGCGCTCGCTGGCTAGCTAGCTAGTAGACAGACAGACCGATAGATACAATAGATAGATGGATCGATGGATGGATGGATGGATAGATGGATAAATAGATGGAGGCATGGACGGATAGATGGATAGATGGATAGACGGATAGAGGGATTGATGCATAGATGGATAGAACTTGGATGGTGACACATTGTTTTCTAGTTATGACATCGACCAGCCGACGAAATTCAGGTGCTTTGTGATCTACCTTACGGGCGGCAGTACGGCACT